TAGTGGGATAGTCCGTCACATTATAACGCCGCCACGGCTGAAAGGGCAAGCATATTTGGTCTGACGGGGATTCGAACTCGCGACCCACAGACTGCGAGTCGAGTGCCCTAACCACCTGGCCATGCCGGGCCATATTCGATTAGAGTAGCCCAAGAGTTGGCGGTGGATGGTGTTGACTAGCTGGCTTCTCTCTAGTTTATCACTCCCAAATTACAGACGGATAGCGCAGATAGCCTTCGAGTAGCTTTGTGCGAAATTCAACAAACAAACTCTAAGGCATGCAGTAGCGCTGGTATAAGTAAGTTTCACTTCTACGTTCTCGAATGAATTCTTGACTTCGGAATTTCGTGTGTTTGTTGTAGAACAAAACCACATTGAGCTATTTGCTGTATCCACCGCGGAGAATAGAACCCCGGATTTTCGCGTTGTGAGTCCGTAAGCTTACCGCTGTGCCACCTGAAAACCCGGAATTTAGCACTCTGAATGTTATGACACTTTGAAAAATATTAAGAAAATAAGTTAAGATTAAATAAAAATACAATATGTACCAAAATACTATCACTGCTGAAATTTGGTTATTTTTATTTTCTATCTTAGATGACGTCACAGGTTGCATTGTAGGAAAAGCTATCAGTAGCAAGGTGCACAATACATTTTGATCGTTTTATTTATCTGGGATCCGATATATTACATGTTCGTTCCTCCACGAATGTCTTGTGACATTTTGCAGTGAATCATAGTCTAACTTCTGCTTTGCGTCTACAATTCTGCTGAAATTTAATGTACTTTAAGAGTTCCTGAAAATGAGCTAGAAATACTTAAATGTGTACTTGTCAAAAATACTTGATAAAAATAATTTTGTAAAAACCATTTGTTTTTTTTCAATTCTAAGGTAGATATAAACGATATATAACATTTTTCTCAAACTTTAAATAGTACTTATCTTGTATTACTAATCAGGACATTTTTAAGATAATCACCAGCGCCAAATATCTTCTAAAAAAGTCATTTCTTAGTCCTCACGAGCTTTTTTTCTTCGTTGGCTGTAATTAAGCACCAATGGGCTATCTGTTTTCTGCCCACCACGCGTATCGACACCAGGTTTCTAGCGTTGTAAGTCCGCAGACATACCACTGTGCCTTTTTTGTTTATGAATGCAAAATGTAGTTTTTCCCCAGTTATAAAATGTCATCACAGCTTATGAACACCATCGTCATACTTTTAAAGTTAGTTTAAGGAAGAAACAAATCGGTAAAGCGTAATACAAAAGAACAATCAGATTTTCCTTTTAATCTTAAGCTTCTGACTTCCTAAACCTGAAATGTAAGAAACAATTTTAAAACCGCTTTTGAGCTAAATCTGCTTATCTTTAAGTTGATTTCGTTCTGAAAGTAAGGTGTAGTCTATCATTTCTTTATAGTGACTTTCATTAGCAGTATTGATCAGAATGTTTAGTAAGAATGTTAAATTATTATCATTATACTTTTATTACAAAGATTGTTTTGCATAGTTAACTTAATATTTATTTAGAACTAACTTAAAACTCTTAAGCTGACTGAACCTTGTGAGAAACTATTGGGTTTACGGACGAAAACGTCGTTAACAGCAAGTATTCAACTGATGAAACAGTGCATTATAATCTTATTAAGTAAGAACGTAAGAAAAATATATTTAATTAGTTATACTCAGCTTTATTTCGAGTTTCGCTTTAAGTTGGTAGCCTATTGTAATTGGAAGTTAATTTGAAATGCAAATAAAAATATCCAAGATAATTTTATTATGTTACATAACATATGCTTTAATACTATGGTTGAATTATGTAACGTTGTGAAGGTCCATTATACCAATGATTATTATCAGTGGGTTACATAAGCCACAGCTTAGAGACCTGAATAAGTAAGTAAGTGAGCTCAAATAAAACATCTCATAAGCAGCAACAACATTTATATTTCTAGCTGAACCCAAACACGTAGAACATAATTAAAAAAAAAGAAAATGCAACACAGTTTGACCATCTAGATGTGGAATGAAATAGGTTCGTCTTTAGCTTTAAGTAAGCCTCCCAGTGGCGGTATGTCTGCGGACTTACAACGCTAGAAACCGGGTTTTGATACCTGTGGTAGACAGAGCACATATATAGCCCATTGTGTAGCTTTGTGCTTAACTACAAACAAACAAACAAGCTTTAAATAAAGATAACGGTCTGTAAAAAAATTAAAGATAAGAATCTTAGTTATTTATATTATTAGTAAAAAGGGGAAATCATTGCCTAGTGTTCAAATTGATCATATAGTATTTTGCTAATAACTTGTTCCCCTCTGACAAATAATTATTGTAGTTGTTCTTAGCAGTGGTAAGCTTAATCAACATCAGCTGTAAGACATTGAAATTATGAAAAGAATGAAAAAAGCTACAAACAGTACGCACAGTAGTGCACAGGGTTTATTGCAGTTCTAAGGTGGTTGCAGCTGAAACATTCTAATTGTCAACGTTCATAACTTCGAAAATATATAAATATCAGATAATGTTTTTGCTAATATGAAATAGAAAAACCAGAAGTTACGGTTCTTTTTAGAAGCTGAGAAATCAAAGACAAAGAGAGTAAGCGACGGAGGGCAAAGATTACAGGTAAACCCTATGTCTCCAAAACTAGTTTTCCAGCTCATCTCATTCAGCCTGACTACTCAGAATGCGGTCATGACATTTATTCCTTCTGCGCACGTCGCAGCAGAAACTAGTCCGCTGGACACTGTAGTCCTATAAATCAAAGAGCGAGAACGGTCCTTTGTAGCC